CGGCGCGGAGTTTTCTTCGACAACTGCAGCCGCTTTGACTTGCGCTTTTGGCGCACCTTTACAGTTTCTCGCTATGTGGCCTTGTTCTCCACAGCGGTAGCAGGTGAAAGCGCCAGGCTTTCCTTGGGGTTTGGGAGATCCCCTCTGCTTGCCGGAGTCCACATCCATAGCGTCACTGTCTTTGCTAGGACCAGCCTGCCTTGAGTTATTGAAGGTTCTTGGGGTTTCCTTGTTAGGGGTCCACCAATTACTCTTCTTCTTTCTCAGCGTCTAGCTCCTCGTAGTTACGTCCAATCTGTATGGAGTAATCAATGAGCTTCTTGAGGGTGTCTTTCTCAGACGCTGGAATATGAGCGAGTTGCTCTTTGATCCGGGTTTGTAGACCAGATCGGAATTTGAGGCGGAGGTCGTAGTCGGAGTATTTGGTAAGTGCAGCCTTCTGCTTGAAAGCTGCTGCGTATTCAGGCACTGATGAAGATCCTTGCTTCAGAGTTTCCAACTCTCTGATAGCTTTTCCTTCTCTATCGTCTTGGCCCCACATGGTTTCGAATTCCTTTCGTCCAGTCCTCAAAGGATATTAGCTTGGAGTCAAGCTCAATAACATATTTCTGCGCCCATTTAGCAGCAGATCCTTTAAGGAAAGACAGGGCAGTTGTAATCTTCTGCCTGTCTGTGATCAGTGGCCATTGTGACATGTATAGTGCCAACTGAGTCGTGTAGACTTCTATGGAGATCGAATCTTTGTCTCCTGTGAATTCTGTGGGCTTCGACAATTTGACTTGTGAAGTGTTTGGGGATTGTGCGAATCTCTCCAGCTTCTTCTTCAGTTCCTCTATTTGTGCATTTTGGGTCCTGAGTTGAAGCTGTTGAGTCGCGTTTTGTGCACTGAGAGTATTGTTGTGATTGAGGAGTTCTTGTGTCCTCACGTACAGGTCGTGTGTTGCCATAGTGATGGCATTCTGTACGTAGTTGGTGAATTCCACTGGCATAGCTATGCCTTGTGGTTGTGGTCCCTGAGGTCCTTGTTCTTGGGGTTCTTGGGGGTTCTCAGGTCCCATTTCTGTTTCGTTGACTTCAGCCATAGTGCCAGGTGCGTTCTGGAATCCGATTCACTAATGACTGTTGAAGAGCGGGTCGTAACGGCTCTTCCGGATAGGAAAGATGATGAAAGGGGAGAGGGAAAAAGGATACGTAAATGGAAAGCTAAAGGGGTCCCCAGTACTAACTGGATCAACCTCGTCCTTTAGGGTCAAAGGGTTCTTTAGTCAACCCGACTGACACTTCCCTAATTACTAACTAAAAAGAGTACGTAAAGCTATACTTTGTTAAGTGGGAAAAACACTGTGTGCTTCGTGTGTGCTACTTCTCAGTCACCGAAAGGGTACAGGTCTAGGACAAGTTATCACTCTTCCAGCCGAAGCTTACAAGTGCGAGTCTCACTAGAATCCCGTATCTAAATCCTCGTGGTAACGATGGTAGGACTATCCGCAGATGCGACAGTTCCACTAGACTTAACGAAAGGTTCTACGTGCGTATGAAGAAAGATGTAGGTATGAAAGAAACTATAGTAACGTTGAGCAGGCAGGGTCTTGGGCCAGCACTCAAAGTTGTAGCGAGACGCCTAATGTCGTCAACACCTCCGTATACTGGCGGCTGCAATGTAAGGCAGGGCCTGGTATAGGACTACTAACTACTAAAGGCTATTCGTAAAAAGCTCAAGCGAGCAAAAGGATGGGTTTCAGAAAAGTGATCGCGACTGTTTAGGTCGGGCAATGGAAAACGTGTGATGATGATGAGAGATGTGCGAGCGGTGTGCAAAGAGTCGGAGTCTCCTATAGTTCAAACCTAATGTCACAACCCAATAACGAATTAACGCTGGGCGAGACTAGGACTCAAACGAAGGTTATCGGACAGAGGAACGATGAGCAAGTACGTCTTGGATTGCTACAGTGTAGATACAAGAGGTTTGAACTAAGGAACTATCGACCAAGACATGCTACCTATATACAACTATTGAGACGGAGATTGAAACTGAGTTACAACTACTAGCCAATCATAAAAAGAGAAAGGGAATCGTACCATAGAACATCGTAGAATATTAAAGAAGCATCACGTGACCATATCTTATCTTATCGTATCTAATCTAATCTATTCACAATCAAAGAACTCGTCTTCTTCATCAGTCACATCGAAGACACGTGTGTGGCGCTAAAGGTATTTCGGGAATGATAGACGCTTTCAATAGGGTTAGGGTTTGACTTAGGCGCTGTGTATTGACGCTTAGGAAGATTCAAGAAAGAATAATGGTTTGTTAAAGGTACTCGTGACAGGGCCCCTACTATTTTTCTCCTGATCCTCCTCGTATCAGCCCTCGCATCATACCCTTACCCCGACCTTACCCTTGTCATCCTCGTCATCCTCGCATTCCCTTTTGCCCTCTACCTGTCGCTTCAGCAAAGCCAGTACATTTGGCCGGATCCTTTCGCTGACGAAGCATACCCATGCTCCGTTTCACCACCTGACTGATCCTGCGGACAGTCCCCTTGCCCTTACCGTCCGGACGGTAACCTATGATATGATGCACGACGCATCCCCTTTGCCCTGTTCCCTTTTATGATCTCTGACTTGGTGCGCAGTCGCACATGCGACTTATACTTAGATCCGCAGTTGCACGATCGTGCCCCTGCGCGTTTCACTTCTTACTTCGATCTTTGACTCACTTTCTTATCTAGCACGTTCTACCCAGACCGAACGTGCCTTCCTGTTATGGTCTTACCCTTTACCGATTGCCTCTCCCGGTAGTACGAGTTATCATCCACTAATACGTTTCCTGTCCTCTATATAAACTCGCTACCATGTACTATATTCCCTAACTTGAATCTACTTGGTTCTTGACCTCCTACTCTCACCAGAGTGATCCTTCTGCCTCGCCAGCAGTCTATATTCTATCTTCTTATCTGCTCTTCGCGGATAAGCCTATAGTCTCGACCTTTACTCATCGACTTCGTCGACGAGCAAAGCCCCTGTTAACTAGTCGGACTTCTGTCCTTCTAATTAACGACGATCCTTACGATTAACCTTCGGGTGTCGTAAGTCTAGGCCGATATAGCTTATCGTCTCGCACCCGCGTGACATAAGCTACCCGATTTGGACATAGGCGTCAAATCGTACTTGCCGAAGACACGCCAAGTACGACCCCTAACCTTGGGCTAGCCCAAGGACGTCCACAGACCGTTGACGACACAAGCTCTGTTTGAGCATCGCCAACAGATACCATCCAAGTCGTAACAGGGTTCGACTTGCTCGCAGAGGACAAGGTTTCGGAATGTCTCTTGCCCTTCCCCTCCTTCGCAGCCAGTGCGGTCCCTGAGCTGCCCTTTTTACTTGGGCGTCGTTCGGTGAGTTGACGATGCTCGTATTCTTCACTAATGATATTGATGAGCTCGTAGGACGACAAAGGGACCTTGGTGATTTTGGCGGCTGCATTAATGGACGATAGAAGAGGGCAGTACGATTCTGGGAGTGAGCCGAGGATGATCGCGTGGAATTCAGTGTCTTGTATCGCTGCACCCATGCCCACTAATAACTCTCTTAAGCGCAGCATTTCTGAGAAGTGCACTTTGACATCTCCCCCCTCCTCGCACCTGGTGTCCTGCAAACGGCGTCGCAGGTCTATTTGGACGAGCTCAGTCTTACCCTCGTGGATCTGGCATATCTCTGTCCAGACCTCTGAGGCAGCTACGGACTTCTGTACGCACAGGAGTAGATGATGAGTAATAGTACTGAAAATTTGCTGCTTGACCAGTGAGTTCTTTTGGTCGTATTCGTCCATGAGTCTATTGCGCTCATCGATCTCCTTCTCGGTAGGTGTCGAACCATCGGACTTCTGCGGAAGTCCCGTTTTCTCGTCTATGACGAATGGTAATGGTTCAGCTGCACGACTGTCTAGATATCGCATCAAACCTCGGGCACTGATTGCCATCAATTTTCTTTCCTTATAGGTAATCCAGTTCGTGCCATCTTCGGCAAGCTTTGGGACATTGAACAAGGTGGACGTGCTGGCAGGGAGCGTAGTATCGGCGGTCATGGCAGGGCTCATAACCTCTAGAGATTAGAGGTAGAGCGGGATAGAAAGGATCTAACAGGTAAGAGCAAGTCTCAGTCTCTAGAAAGAACTCATATTGACGAAGCGTGTACCTAACAGGTAAGAGCAACTACGCTAAGTCAGTTAAGTGTAACAATAACGGTAAAGGTGTAGACTCACATCTCAGTCTCTAGAAAGAACTGAGACGCTCACAACGGTTGGGCGCTAGTATTTATACAGTAAGCGCTCTCGATTATTTTGAAGGTAAAAATTTACTTTGGACCATTTTGGTCCCGACGTCAACAGGTACTCCCTGTTCCTTCCGTCCCCAGGCACACTTCTTGCGCTCGTACCCTCTACTCCTCCTCCCGTTCCTCTCCGGCTTCGGTATCTTCGGACTCAGCAGAATCGGATGTCAATACAGATGTATGACATTGGGGGCTCTGGTGATGCAGGCCGTCAGCTGTATGAGTCAGGACTCTATCAACAGTACCATTATAATTACAATTATTAGTATATAGACCATGATCCTCAATAATATTCATTTCAAAGCGATGCACAACGACGAGCTTCAGAGTCTTCGGAGAGTGAAAGTTGACGGTGCCGCTGCTGTGCCGACGTGTGACACGACGTGACCATGTTTTGCAGAATACCAGTCAGACCCTGAATTTTCTCGGCCTTCATCCGACACTCCACCAAAAAATCCTCAAAATCAGAAAAAATCATATTCATATAGAGTAGCTACGAATATATAATGGTGCAAATCAGTAGAAGATAATATGATGCGGTTGAGGAGTTACAAAAGATTTATTGAAAATGTTGCAGAACCCCAGGAGTGATAGTACTGACGATGTGGCAGTGTTCTAGCGAAATGAAAATTAAACGCGTCCCTTGCGGACATATATATCCTTATGGAGAAGTTCAAATTTGGTTTGGTTCAAACTCAAGTTCAACTTGTTCTTTGACCAACATCTTCAATTACAGTAGCAGCTTCAGACAGGCCTTCTCGATTTTAACGATGGTCACTTATTCTGCTTTCTTTTCTTCTGGCCTTCTCGCGCCCTACCATCCAAGAACAACAACTCCTGCACCACCCTCCTCGCCGATGCCGATGCCATCCAGCACTATGCACCCTGTCGATCGCGATCTGAGCGTGACGCCAACACCCGGCGACAACTCAAATAATGTTGCTGCAATACCCACTGCGAATGCTGACCGTCCTCGCATGCGCAGGCGTCGCAGTAGCATAAATATCAGCGTGAACCCAATGGCTCTTATCAAATCCCCGACCCGAAATGCGGGTAGCGCGCTTCAGCGCACCGGCGTCATGTCTCCCACTAGGAGTCGTGCAGGCAGCATCGCAGAGAACGCTTCAGACACTAACAGTCTTTTTGGAAGATTAAGGAGTGGCAGTCTGAACACAGGCACTTCACTGCGGTGAGTGGCTCTAATGCCTGTAATTGGATGCGTTCTGGAACTCATAGTGTGCAGCCTGCGTCGTGCAGTCAAGCGAACCGTCCCAATCGCTCCGCCCCCTACTGCCCCTCTTCCTGCACTTCCACCCCATCACCATCTCAACCTGCAAAATACACGCGTACTCTCGCGCCTCCTGCGCTCATCATACCTGCCCCTTGTCAACCCCTCATGAATTATTATGTATCCGGTCCTAACACCTCCGGATTACTCAGTCCTGGCTCTGTGATGCACTTCTCATCCAATATGTCGTCTGGTATCTCCTCCAGCCCTGCTCATAAGTGTTATTTTGGAAGCACCATCGATGAAGAAATGAAAGAAACCTGAACGCGCTTTGATGAGCGCTGCTTGTTTGGACACTGCGCCTGGTTGCGCACCCGCTCTCGTGCATCGATATCCTCGTTACCTATTTACTGTTCCAGATTAATTCCCTGCTGCATTTGTTACCTATATCCTACTCATAGCCAGTTTTACACCATGTTTCTATGTCTTTCAGTTTCTGCATCTTTCAAAGCTACTCTTGCTCTTTAAAACAGGTTACTCGTTTCGGCTATGTTTTGTGTGCTGCTCTAGTATCTATGTTATTTCTTTGGGCATTTG